AACCTTTAACATACCAGCAATAGCAATTGCTACGTTGTCATCAGCATGGGTGTTAGCCAAGCTGAATGACTTAACCACTGTGTTGTCCCTCAGGGCTTGAGAAAATTGTATAAGCATCTGTGAAGTGATGTTTTCAATGTTATTCAGATTGACCTCTGTGGTGTCAGGGTCGTTGCTCCTAACTTTTTCCAAAGCATCTTCAATAACTGTTGGATTTCCACAAGGGTGGATGGCACTGCTTTTTGAGCTCCGATTATCACTGTCTTTTCCATCATGGCCATTGAGGAAGCTTTCATTGTCCTTTGCACCATTACACTTTTTGTGTCTGATGTGGTCAGAACGCCTGCCAGCTGCAGCATTTTGCTCTTCCTCATTCTCATCATCACTCTCATCTTCATCTTCCTCTTCATCTTCTTCTTCTTCATCATCCTCTTCTGTATATGCCTCCTCAGACACTTCACTATTGCTTTCTGTGAAACATTCTTCTTGAAGTTCTTCTGAATTGTCCTCTTCTTGCTCAGAATCCTGAACAGGAACGTAGGTGTGGGCGTTAAACATGATTGAAGTAATGTAACTGCTGCCTTTTAGCACAGGAACAATTATACTGACACTATATAAATTAACATTGAAAACTAAAAACAAACAGATACAGTTAGGAGAACAGAAAATGATTCATCTAACACCTAGGTAACATTATTTCTTTTACATTCTTTAGAAAGTGCTAAGCATAAATTTCAAACACTTTACCAATGTTAGTGATTTCTGCCAAGAGAAAACTTGATACAAGATATTATGACATGGACATACTTCAGGTTTTCTATGTGTTGGCATGTCTACAAGGGGATATAATTTGGATCCTTGACAGCAGAAACATAAGACAACAATTTCAGAATGAAAGGAGCAACAAGCTTCTTCATTTCATGAGGACATCTCAGACATCTCAGACTCCCTTGCATATGTTAGTATGTCTAAAAATTAAAGGTTGCCATGCTTTAAAATACAAACAGTGTCTGCATGTGTAGTCTTGTATACCAGCATGCAAAACAGTACAGAATTACAGAAGTCATGTCAAAAATACTTTGGATGTACTGCATGGGCTGCACATAATAATAATTTATTTGTGAAGAAAGGATTGAGATGCATTCCCACAGGTAAGATGCAACCACATGTCAATAACACCTGAATTTCTTTGTGTTTGTCAGGAGCTAAGCTGGGGCTCACCGCCAGCTGTCACGGGTCAGCCACCACACTGTAAATTGTTATAACTCATTCCTACAGAGCAAATGCATTGTTTTCCTGAAACACAAGGTTATTTTGGTGTGTTTGGTGGGTACCAGGAAGGCAAATTTGGAACCATGCCCCAAAGCCCTGCTTGCTGCCTTTAGCAACTATGGTGGCTAAAGAGAACTCTATGCAGAGGAGCAGGAAGGTCTTCACCCCATGAAAGACTCACTCTCCCCATGGAGGACTCCAGTAGAATGATGGGGATCTATGGGGTATGGCAGAACCCAGAGTCTACAACCAGCCTTAAAACTCTTGTTCAAAAGGTCTTCCATATCATGTTTTGCCTACTGGAAAAACTATAAGTACACATTTTTCTTTATAATTGTAAATGTTCATAAAACTTTGAATGAATTATAATTGTTCTGTATGCACTACTTTAGCAATACTTGTGTTTTAATCTCTATAAAATACTAGATTGTATTTTCCAAAGTGAGTACACTCTGCAGAGACACAGTGACTCTGTTTCTGGAAAACAGAAGTGTTACTAACAGGAGAGCCTATTTTTAGACAACCTGTGCAGTTTTAGGTTTGCTTAGTTATCTGGCTCTGAAAATAGAGAACTGTTAAAATGCAGAGCACTGTTTCACAATTTTCAGTAGAATTCTGTGCTGGGACATATGCAAAAAAGATGCTAATTGTAATGTTTGCAGAACTGTGACTTAATGAAACAGGACATTGAGTTTTTTCTGCCTGGTGTTCGTGAGAATTCAGAACCTGGGGTCTGGCAGGGTCTCATTGCACTGGGCTGCACACAGAGATCTTGTAGGACCCAGCCCTGTTGCTTGCCCTGTAGAACATGTGCAGCAAGGCCCTTATGCTGAGAGATAGTGTGCTACCCATAGGCTTGTTATGGGATTAAGATTTATATCTGTATCTTCTATATATGTGTAGGGCTTTAATGCCTGAAAACACCAGGTATCCAAAGCCCTGTCTTCATGGCTTTGGTTTTATATATTGAGGAATATATATATATGAGCAAAAGGAGGTGCCTTTAAATTCACTATTGATATGTTTAGTGATGTTAAATTAATAAAAATCTACTTGATTTTTTTTTTGAGTAGCATTTCTGAGGTCAAAGGCAGAATTTATTTGCCTGTCATGTACATTGTCTGGTGTCATAATAATCTGCATGATAATTTTGAAATTGAACATGGAGACATATTCCTACTGTAGCAGCACTGTACAGGACTGCTGCAGGCAACTGGTAGGGCTTCACCTTACTTTGTGGGAGTAATATGATGAAAAGTTAGGACTAAGAGAGTCAGTGCTGAGGTAAATCTCTTGGGAGGACAAGTTATTCACCCTAAAAGGCTATCTACAAGTTGTTTGCCTTTTGGACCAGCTGATCTGTCACCACTAACTATAGAAGGAGCATGAATAACCATCTTAGATAAAGGTGCATAATTTCCAAACAGTTGAAAGCAAGAAGAAAATTGTTTTCAAGGACCTTTCTCACTGCCATCAGTGGAGAGAGTATTTGTGACCTCTGTATCAGCATATCAACATTTTCTAATTTAAGGATGCATTCTGGAAGTTTTTTCTCAGATCAAAAAGTACAGAATGTTTTGCCAGGCCTTGGAAGTTTAGCCAGTACCCATCATTAATGCTGTATATACATGGAAAAAGGAAAAAGAAGAAAAAAAAAAAAGAAAGATCCTGCCATTGTATAAGATACTGAACTAGACCTGTTCAGCAGGATTTTTAAAAGTGCCAGGGTTTCAAGTTCCAGGCTAAGCTGGAAATAAACATTAATCTTGCCATTTACTCTCTAGGACTGACAAACAGGGAGTGAAGTCAATGTCTGCAAGCTGATACTAATGGTCTGATGACAGCTACTGGTCTGTGCTCTTGCCTGCATAGACCTTATACCACCATTCACAAACAAGAGAAAATACTTACATGTAAAAACGCCCTGGATATTGCAATTTAATCTATCTGACTTTCCTCTAGGATGATATTTTATCTAATGTATAAACTGCAATTATTTCCTTGCACATTAAATGAGCTCCTGCATCAAGGCTGTTAGAGCTTCTGAGTTCAGTTTTGCTGTCTTTGTCTTTATTCTATTACTTTCTGCTTAAACATGGGAAAATGTGTCCCTATAAACACAGTAAAGCTTAGTATGAAGCAGTGCTTCAAAATCCCCAAGTCCCCAATTTGTTTTGAAATTACATGGAACCATCATGAAAATAGAAGTTGCTTTTTGGTTGGGCTCAGGCTCACATACACTTTTAGCAAGGATCAGGAGTGCCAACGTGGACATCAGCTGAGAGACTGCTCACTGCTTGCCAAGACTGAGCCCTTCACTCCTGCCCAGCTGTACTCTTCATTTGCAGTTCAGGAAATGGCTTTTATTACTAACATTTTTATTTTGGGGAACAAGTTGCTTAACAAACACTATTGGTTGTTTTTTTGGGAATGCAGTTAAATGGCTTGACTGATGACTCTATCCAGGCCACTTTTTAAATAATGTACAGCTGCCCTCTGACTACAGTTGCCAGAAGACTCCTGAACCATGCCAAGGATCCTCAGCAGGAACAAAGCAACACAAGCTGCTGACTGCAACACAAGCCGCTTTCTTCCAGCGAGCACAAAGCCTGGCATCTGCTTACTCAACTTCTGACATAACATGTATTCAATATTATCTTCCTTACATTCAATATTATCTTCCTTACATGTTTCTCAGCAGTCAATACTGGTTGTTTTTTTAAGGAAAGGAAAAGGCATTTTGTATAGCTTTCTTAAAAAATCAAGTGCTATCCAAAAGCCCACATCTCTACCTATTAATAATTTCTAACATGCCCATTAATTTTTTTCCTATTTTAATCACTGATGATAGTTTTTATGGCACATTCTTCTGCTCTGATCTGAGCACTTAAGGTACCTCCAGAGAGAGAAAACACTCTCTAATACTCAGCGCTTTAGCAGGCACAGAGGTATGGCTAACAGTGTTCTTAAAAATGCTACAAGAGACTGAAAAGAAATTAAATCAGTCAGTGAGATCATGCCAATGCAGAATAAAACCAAATACCTATAGGAAACAGCAAATGCCTCAGCACCTTACCTTCTCGCACGCACCCAGCCTCTCTTTTTCTAGGAGTTTCTTGGTCTCCCTCTCCCAGTAGGCCATCAGTGCTTCCCTGCTGAAAGTCCCTGTTGGTGTTTTCTCCGTCAGGCTCTTCTGCCGTTGTCCCACTGGAAGGTTACGGTCGGGCTCTATGTCCTCTAGCTCCCGCTCCAGCTCCTTCAGCTCCTCTTCCGTGAGAGAAGCGAGGAGCTCATCTTCATCAATGTCCTCATATTTACTGAGCTCTCTTCTGTACCCAAAGGTAGACATGGTCCTGCTTGGTCAGGCTGGTACAAAGCTACGGTGACCAGGCATTCAAGAAGGCTGAAGCAAGCAAGCAGTGTCTGGTGTGGTCAGCAACTGTTTCCCTGCATAGCCAGAGGCACCCTTTTAAGAGTAATCATCGGGGCCTTACGACAATGCATGAAGGGATGAAAGCATGCTCCGTTTTAAGCATCAGACGTCAGCTAGACATCTGAACAGCAAGAATGTCCCAACACTAATGTTTGCAAGTCCCTTAAAGAGGGGGATTATTGACACACTGGCCATGGCCATATTTAGAGCAGGCAGCTAGTGGGAGAATACCAGCCTCGCAGACGGGGGGGCGGCACCAAATAAAACCCCGGGCGCACTTACACTGGCATCGTGTCCAAATTGCAGTGGGAAAAGAACAATGAAAATCCATTTAATCCTGAGCTGTCACAGGGGCTGGAAATAAAACACCCTTGCTGTTGTTCAGTGGACTTCCTCTCACAGTATTCTAGTGGAATGCTGTTATCCCAAGGTGTTTGCAGGCGGTTGGGGTCGGTGGAGAGGCAGCCAAGGGAGGAGGCTGGCAGCTGTGGGGAGCACTGCTCCCGCAGTGTCATGCGTTGTCTGTAACAAATCACACAACTGAACTTTTTACTCATTCCCTGTTTTTTTCTAGGAGTATCAGAGTGAGAATCAGCTGTTCATGTCCTTTTGGCGCACCTGTGAGATTTTTGTTTGCGTGGAGAATTGTGCTGTGCTGGGGGGAATGGACAGAGTCACCCAGAGATTTAAGGGTAACAAGCCCTGGGTGGGCAGGGGGGCTGTGCCTTCATCACTTCTGACAGGCTGAGCAACTGAAGGCCTCTAGTGGCTATTCTTTTAATGGCTGTTGCTCGCTGTCACTGACTGATGTGCAGCTGGAGACAGCCCTTCATTTCTTTATTCTAAATGTTTAACTACATAATAGTTTCTGCTAATAGATTTTATATTATTCTGATATTATTTTTATTGACAGGAATCTTTCAGTAAGAAGAATTGCAAAAAGAATGATTAAACTTTGTACTGTTTATTGTTTGTTTTTCTTAGCAGTGAATGATGGTGAGCTAGCAACATCTTCTGAAACATGCTGATCACCAATATCTGCCAACCTGTGTTCTGAGAGAGGGGGAGAGAGAGCAAGAGAGAAGGTTTTATACATGGAAGTAGGAATACATCTATAACAACATATATCAAACTTCTTAAATGATAATACACAGAGTGTTTTAGATGGTCAAGCCAATATTTAATGGAAATGTAAGTGAACATAATTTGAAGTATTGTTCTTTTCTGACATCATCTCTTTGGTCACTATGGATTGGCCACCTGCACTGAGGTATGTTGTTTAGCCAAATTGCTCATTTAGTTTCATTATTATGCATACAACTTTACTGACAGGGGAGAGAGGAGATTATCAGATCTTTATGAAAATCTTGCTCAAAGAAATTATATTTTTCCTTTGATAATTTGTCTATGTGAATTTCATGCAGTTATTTGATCAAGAAATGGTATGAAAGCTTATAATCTTAATCTTTCCTAATTTACAAGTTACATTAATAAAGCAGACGTAAGACTATCATGTAGCTTAATATAAAATAAATATTTGCAGGTCATTTACACTGACAGAATCTTTGGATAAAATAAAAAGGAGGCAGATGCTTGGCTTATGGAGCTAAGAGTGTTACCTTCACCCTTACACCTTCATGGTATAAGGTCCCATGGTGGGCCAAGTGCACACAGACAGGTCAGTGGGTCCACAGGAGTTCTGTTCACTCTTTCAGCTGCACCTCCAGAATAAAGCCTGGATCAAATGCTGAAAAATGTGAAATACTAGGAAAATATAATAAGTTCCTTTTTCTTTTAATTTGGCATTATCAATGCTTTTTGGAAGAGCTGACATAGGCACTAATTATCTGTATATAGCAGCATTCCATGCAATTTTATTTCTTTAATATGTCTAGGACAATGTTTCATATCATTATCATTGGAGTTAGCCAGAAAAGCAGCACAATAAAGTTATATTTCTCTTGACTGCATTTGCTGACAACATTTTCTTACAAACATTTTGATGGAGTTAAGAAATGTGAACTAGACATATTTTCTGTTGGAAAATCCTGATTAAAACTGAAATGCTTTTAGAAATATGCTATATTTTATTAGTACAATGTTGATATGTACAACACTGATATGTACAATATTAAAAGCAAAAATATGCTGTTAAAAATGAGATCTATTCAAATATACTACTTCCAGAAAAAAAAATCTCAGCTTTCTGCTCTTCCTTTTTTGTCAGGTACGACAAAATTTGTAAGTCTTTCCATTTTCCTGAGCTGAGAGTCTATTATGTCCACAAAGTACAAACATACAGATATGTTTGAATTGTCTATTCAAAGTTTTCTATCTATAAACAAAATTTTCCAAAATTAAAGAAACTTTTAAAAAGCAGCATGTATTATTCACTTCTAAAATAATATTCCAAAGGAATATTAAATAGCATGAATATTACTTTCAGTGCTGTTCCTTGCTAAGACATGACACAACACTGGGTCAGTGGTGATGTTTTTTCTACATAAAATGCCAAGGATGTCCATTCTAGCCATGAGATAATTTAAAGACATTACTGAAGATGGACAAGGTACTTTCTTGTACATTTCTCCCCTCAAGCAGGGGGAAAATTGGCAGTCAGGTGAGGTTATGAGAGGTTTGTATCCCTTCTTGATCCTAGATGGCACTCGTGGGATTTTATGACCTATTCTTTACAAGGAAATGGCCAAAGGTGAAGAGTCATGAACACTTTATAGGAAAATTTTAATAAAAAATAATAAGGCTGTAGCACATGGAAAATTAAAAATAATATGCTAAAACTGTAAAGACAAGTGCTCACAGGTCAGAAGATGTGGGAATAATATTTGTTGTTGCCTACTGATGGAGCACTGAAACACATTCCTTAATTCCATAGTTCTCTAATCTATACCTTGATCCTAGACACCTGAGTGTCAGAACCTTTACTCAGAACCTTTACTCTTTTTCATTGCATGGGAAGGATCACACACATTTAATAGCCTTTCAACATTTTATTTTGCCCCTGTTCTTCAGCATAGTAAAGCTATCAATGATTTTAATTGTCCAGTGGCCTTTTCAGAGGACATGAAGGTGTTACCACTTGTTTAAGGAAGAAGAAGAGAGGTACAGAAACCTTAAGACTTAAAGTACCCACTAATTAGGAATTTTGGGTTCTGGCAGTATTTAGCATTATGCAAGCATTTCAGCTGATCAGGGTTCAGTTCCTCTGGGCATCAGCCATGGCTGAAGCTTCCCACCCTTACAACATTTCAGATCACAGGTTCCAACTTCCAAGAGGAACTCAGAAAAAAGACAGGAGTAATTGTGTTTTCCTGTTATTAGCATTCTTACCTGAAAAATTTTCTTCCTGTTTCATAGTCTCCTTTCTTAGGCATTATACATGTTCTTATTTCTAAAAAAAACCAAGCAAAAGACCCAGAGGTCTGAGCAAACAGTTCTGTGTTCTCAATCACACCGTTATAAACGGTTTAGGAAGAGTCCATTGTGTGCTAGTGAGGTGGCACAGGGAACTTCCTTCCATCACAGGAGGCAGTGAGTAGAGCATGAACCATATGTAGTAGAGGAAGGCAGATTATAGTGGCTACACTGGCTGCTGTTTAGGATGAATCCTCCAATTAGACATTAGGAAAAAACTCTTCATGGAATGGGTTGTCAAGTATTGGAACAGGTGTCCATAGCTGAGTAACCATCCCTGCCTGTATTGAAAATACATGTAGATGTGGCACTTAGGAACACAGTTTAGTTGTGGTCTTAGCAGTGTTAGGCTAACATTTGAACTTGATGACCTAAAAGATCTTTGTGATGATTTGATGAAGTGCTTTGCCAACTCCTAAAAGAAAACCCAAACTCACCTCCCTAATGCCCTGCTGAAATCCTGTATGCAGGGAATTAACCATTTCACCAATAGGTCATGAAAACTCATTTCTCATTTGACAGAATTATTAAAAAGTTTGCTCACTTCAGAACCTGAGCTGTGAGAAATGGAGATTCCTCCTCCTTTTATAGGAGGAGGATTCACTCTATCACTGTAGACCTTGGCACACAGTGCTCCTGGCTTTCAGCAGCTAGATTTCAGACAAGACTTTCCATCTTTCCTAATCTGGAGGAAAGATTATTTCTTGTCTTGGTTTTACAAAAGGAAACCCTTTGAAGTGTACATTTTGCCTTTTCAAGCAATTAATTATTTCAATCAGCAGCCAAGGGAACTCTGTTCCCCTTCTCACATTTCTACACTTGGGGCATATTGGCTCAATTGCTTAAAGGACACAAGCGACATGTGGCAGACGGTGCTCCCCCTTCAGCAGGACAAAGCCCAGAGTTGAATGTATATTTCCACTCAGATGAGTGCAGGGAAAACTACAGGCAGGCAAAGAGAGGGCTGTACAACCTTGTCCTCAGGCGCAGGACAGTGGCTATTTCAGTCCTAGCTCCCGAGGACAGCCTGTCAGACAGATGCGTTGGCTCATACTGAGCTCAGTCCCACACTGCAGGAACAGCTCCAATTGCCATAGAGCACATTAAAAACAATGCATCACAGCATGCTGGGCTTTCCCCACGTCTCCTGCTGCCCATCTGCAGTGCTGCTTGCTCCTGCCTCCCACCACCACTTTTGCAACCCTCAGTCTTCAACCAACTCCTTCCCCCGTGCTGTCCACTCAAGGCACCAGCCCCTGAGCTCTCTCTTCATGCCTTATTGCTGCTGTGCTGCCTTCTCCATCCCTGGTCCTGCTTTCCCTGCAAGCCCCTCACTGTTTTCAGCCACCTTCACAGCCTGTTTGCTGACCTCTCCTTCCTACTCCTCCTTGCACATCTCTGTCCTGCCCTCGTGTTCCTCACTGCCTGCTCTCCCCCTCCCACTATAGCAATATATATATATTTATTTCTATATATGTCTCAGTTTTTGTATGCTGCGTGTACAGGCCCAGGTTGAACGCAGAATCCAAACCATCCTGGAGAGACACAGGGTCAAGCAGGCTGGCAAGTACACAAGACCACGAGGCAGACTGATGGGACAAGCTGCAGCTCTTTCCCTTGGGAGACTCGCATAACTTGTGAAAATCGTGCACACGGTACTGTGCCTGAAAAGGATGTGTCATCACCTACATTTAACAGTGGTATCAGAAGAGCAAATGGGATGAAGCATGCACTGGAGGCATTTGAAGAAACAAATTTTCAGCTGCTTTTCTCAATGCCAGATGATTCTGTTGTTCACTCAATCTCTCCGGGTGATGCTGTAAACACAGTCACACAGAAGAAAAAGATGTTTTCTGTCATACACGCTGGGGGAACACAAAGTGGGGTAAGTGCAAAAATGACCCTGATTCAAAACCAGTCTTTGCTTGGGAATCAGATTCAGCATGCTAGCTCAAAGACAGGTTTTTCCCACAGATTCCCTGCAACACACCCCAGGCTGCCAGGAGGGCAGATTCCAGGTCCAGGCTGTAGTTTAACAACTTGGACCATCACAAACAGTAATCAGCCTTCACTCAAAAACACCTGCATGCGGGCTGCCTTATTGCTCAGATCAGTTTTGAAAACAGCTTTCTCAACAGTTGTTGGGGACATAATTATGCAACCACTAATCTAATGTATTTCAGTGGTGGGGGTGTTTGCATTGCCTTACTTATCAACACAGAAGAGTAAGAGGGAGTGAAGAAGTGAATGGGCTCTGATAATGCTGCTGATGGAAGATAGTATGGATGCATCCTGGAAGGGAAGTCAGGGGGACTCAGGCAAACCAGACTGCAGGGAAGGACTGGGGGCAAAAATACATCTGAGTGCAAATAAGAACATTTCTGAATTAATTTTCTGAACAAACATTTCTGAACAAATTTTTCAACCTCTAATGAAAGGAAAGAAATCTCACTGCTCACATTGCACAGGCACCTTTGTGCATGGATCCTGGAAGTCTATTTTATTATACAGAGAGGATGCCACTGGGTGCCGAAGGTGCAGCAGACTTGGGATTTATTGCTCCTTTCTCCTACCTGAATCACGCTAAAAGAAGGAAGACATTGGGGGAAAATAAATCTTATTGAATAAATGTCATTTCCACTCCCAGTTTTCTTTTCTTCCTACACAGCCAATACTTTTTAATCATCTCACGTCAGTACAATGTCATGTTCTGTATTAACAGTGTGAGATGAACCTGCTTATCTGTGACAGCACAAACTATTCCTGCCAGGGTTTTGCCCAAAGCAAGTGCTTCTTCACGTCTCTGCAGACTGGCCATTTCCTCATTTCTGCCACACCAAAGAGATAAACTGCTTTGTACACAAGGACAGTCTTAATGCTCTTGCTTTCACAGAGCTGCTCTTATTCCTCAGGAACAGTCTCGGTCTGCTTTACAAACATTGCCAACAGATTTGCAAACTATATATAGAAATCGTTTCACTTGCTACTGATGTACAGACATAGGGTGACCACAGCAGCTGTTTGGAATTACACCGCAATATTGCTCAACAGGTTTGGAAAGGAAGTAGAGGCCACTGTATTGCAAAGAAAGTAACAGAGGAACTGCTGTATGCACAAAAAATGTGGGGTTTGGAAGGATAATTTCAGTGGGATGCAGTTAGCCTACTACTTTTTAAAAAATCAAGCATAATAAAATAGGTAAAATTTACCAATGTAAGAACTGTATTATTTATGGTGATATTTGCAAATACACTGTAATATGTGTGTCCATATCAGGTAGTTATTAAATTATAAGTGATTATGAAAACTGCATGGACTTCATCCTTTGTTAATACCCAAGTCCCAGACAATTCTGCCATGTAACTTAGCCAAACCTACAGTTTGTCATTCAGTTAAAAAAATTACTCTATTTCTTTATACACAGAGAGAAAAACATTTAGTTACTATATTTAGCATTTCCTTTGTCACTTTTTTTAACAGTGTGTGTTCATGAAGATTTTTTAAAAAGGAGATGCCAGCAATATAAACACGTTATATACGTCATAGGAAATTAAATACAAGCAGCAGTACTAACCAGGTAAATTCTCTACTGTCTTTAATTATGCTGGGGGGTTGTTTTGTATTTCTTTTTTGTTAGTCCATATTAATGATAACAGAAGTTCTGGGAATATATACCATGCACAGCAAATGTGGACAAATGGCAATGAGTTTACCCAATTAGATGAAAAGATTTCTACTGAAAATTTGAATTTTGAAAATTAAATAAAAATACATTGAACACATCACCAGCTACAATGTTATATCATTCTTATGGCTACTAACCATTCACTAATATATTTTTGTAGCTTTTTAGGAGAACCCCAGCTCCCTCAGCCATTCCTCATAAGACTTATGTTCCAGACCCTGGAAGCAATGGAAAAACAAAAGAGATAAAACCTCTCCTACAGAAATAAGTCAAAACAAATTTATGCCCATGCAAGCCATAGCCAAACCACAGATATTTTAGTAGGGTTTTTTTCCTGCCCCAAGTAAGGGTCAGAAAAAATCCCTTTACCTTACCCCAAGGTAGACACAAAAGAGCCTGTGACTTCATGACTGTGTTTTTCCATGTGTGACTCGTGTACTGATGGCAATAGTCTGAGAAAGGGCAGCTCAGGCACTTGGAGCCCATGCCAGAACACAGACTGCTGCAGTAAAATTGCTGCTCACCTCCCACCTCAGCCTCACCTTAGCCTTGACACCCAGAACAAGCTCTGCCATGCTAGCTCCCAAAATTAGATGGTAGTCAGTGCATGGAATTTTACAGATGACCCACACACAACATTATGGCTTCTACAGGGAATAGCTCATCATATACAGGACTCATGGCTATGGTTTTCTCCCTCCTGCACTGAGCTCTGAAAACACAGCTACAAAGTCCATCCCACGGGTGCTGAAAAGGCTAAAGGCTGATGTAACCACTGTTGAATGTCTGGCTCCTTGGAGAGCTCACAGCCCGGTGCAGCTGCTTGTGTCAGATTTTATGAGAAATAGAAACCAAATTATACCTTTGATTTCAAATATTGCCCCCAAATCGATAGGAGTCCCTATCCCACAGCATGCCTGATTCAGTGCCAGGGCATTTAATTACTTGTAGACAACATCGCTCGGGGGTGGGCATGCCATGGAATTGGGTTGCGGTGGAACAGCCTGTGAGACACACCCAAATAGTCGAGAAAATTAAATGCTAGTGTTGCAAGGGTTCAATCACAGTCCAACTCAGGAAAATAAAAGGTTTTTTCCTACCAATTTATTCCTCCAGCTAGGGATGAAACCTTTGCGTCTTTTCACACAATCACCAGCTCTGGCCCAGTTACATTTCCTGCTTCTACCACCATGTAGTCAAGCCCTTAGAAGTAGGCATCAAATGGTCTGGCTGCAAAATATAGGAGTTGAAAGAGTTGTGCTCAATTCCTAGCTGCACCATAAACCTGACCTGGGGAAAACAGCTCCCTCTCTGTGACTATCTCACCTCATATTTCACTTAAAATAAAGTTTTGCTTCTCTCTCCATTCAGTTCACAGATGCCTTAAAAATATGAAAGACACTTTCTCATAATGCTGTACTTGCTTTAGTGTTGAGGAGGGTGGAGGCATGGGAGGGAAGAGGCGGGAAGGGAAGCAAGGGTGGGCAGAAACCTTCAATAAATAAACAACTTCAACAGTGAAGGACAGAAAAGCTTTAAACCAGTATCCACATCATATAACAGGCAACCAAACAAAAAAAGGGCCTGGCTGTACTGATTAAAAGATAAACACAACCAGTACCATGTCTTTTTAGCTTACCTAGTGAATTCAAAGGACTAGCTCAATTTTAAACACTTGGGGCAAAGCTCAGTGCTACATCTGAACACTTTGATGCTGCAGGCAATGTAACTAGTGCTGATGCTTGTATGAAGTCCTAAATATAAACCTTTGCCTGTGAACTAAAATTACTAATGGAATTTGGCTCTAGCCACAGAAAGGGTTTAAAATCTCCTGTCTAAAGCCTTATTTGATCATGTTTCCTTTGCTGGTTGCAGTATACTGTATCAGATATGTGATTACCTAGATTCTTGCATTGTAGTCACTGTATTAATTAAAATTACCACAATTTAAGATTTATTATGATTAGGCTCATATTTCTGATTAAGAATTCCCACAAAGAAATACCAGTGTATAGGTTAGGAAGCATACATGTATTTATCCTGTTATGTCCAGGAGGTATTGGCCAGTGGAGCCTTGACTTGCAGTGTTGGGTTCACTGGGCACTCTGTGCTCAGGCCATGCCTGCAGTCACCTGTCACCTGGGGCATCCTTCTGTCAGGGGCCTGGCTCACATGCCAGATGCCTAGAAATTTTTAAAAAGTGACTAAATTATTATTTTTCATCCTGGTCAAAATTTCTGGCAAAAACCCCAGAAGTTATGCCCCAGAAAGCTACATGAACAGTGGCCCTACTGAGAGCACAAGGAGGAATTAAGCCTTCTGTTAAACCTTCTTTGTGTCCCAGAACAGTAATTTTCACTTTTCCCATTTGCTCCACTGAATCTGTCATGATGAAGGACACACAAAGGACCAATATAGCTGCCTTGGGAAGTGGAATTTATGTTTCTGACTCAGAAGTTAGGTCTTATATGACAATGACATTCAGCAAATAAGGAGAAATTCTAAAGAACATGGAGAATGAGTTTAGGGGGCAGGGCAGAAGCATACTGGAGCTGAGTTTTGGTTTGTGTGAATATGTGTTTGTGTGATAACCAGCATATCTCTCAAATACCAGCATGCCCAGAGTTGTGGCTGCCCCATCCCTGGAAGTGTTCAAGTTTGAGAAACTTCCTCTAACGGAAAGTGCCCCCACCCATGGTAGGGGGTTGGAACTAAATTATCTTTAAGGTGCCTTCAAACACAATCATTTGACAACTGTGGGTTTAGCTAAAAGGATTATGCCCTATGTAATCCTGATATCCACCAACTGAAATACCTTCTTAGTTGGGAGGGTCTGCATTTTTCTTTCCTCAAGATGGAAGGGGGATAGAAAAACAAAGGGAGTAATTGCAAATAATTTTAATTAATATCTTAAAATTTATTCTGTCAGATTTTTTTCTCTAAATGTGCAGAAACATACTGTGCAGTGCATGACAGCATGACTGAGGGTGAGTCTGTTCAAGAACTGATCTGCCAAAACTCTGAAGAAACCAAAATTAAAGTTACAATATTTCTTAACCAAGGACATATGCTGCTTGATTTCCTGGTTTGCCCATCAAATCTACTATTTGTTTAAAAGAGCCTGTCTAAGGGCCCTTAAATTTTGCCAAGCCTTGAAACATGCACACACAGAAACTGTACCGGGGACCAAACACTTTGCAAAAATACCTAAAAATAATAATTTAGATGTTTGAAGAATTTTACATAGGATGATGATCTTTAATATACAAAATATGCTACAACACTTTGGATGAATATGACCTGACATAAGCAATTAAAATGGCTATTTTTTTTAATGTTTTCAAAAAATTATTTTGACAGTATGTTAATCTAAATTCAACACTATAACCAGAGTGTTTCAGTCTGGCTAATGAAAAGAACAAAATGAAGAGAAGCAAAGAAGGTATGTATTTATTAGTTTATTATTTATTGAAGAAGTAGTCCAACTGGGAATAAGTTCAAGCTCTGAAGCTGGTCACACAAAAGAATTTCCAAAGATACCCTGACACATAAAGTCCAAACACATCTCCACATTATATCCATGCCTGAGCAACAGCCTCAGCATCATGTCACCATTCAAAGAATACCAAATGCACTGGGGAAATGCGTATCATTAAGCAACAAAATTAGCAGTTGACATCTGCTCCATAAGACAGGAGTAGCTTTAGAATTCCATGCCTGTCAGCTCTCAATGCTATGAGAACACAGTTTAAAGGATCCTTGTTTGGATTTGCTCCTGCTTTGAGCAATATTTTGGTACAAAGAATTCCATTATTACAAACAGCACAACAAAGTGCAGGCTGTCTTTTGTCATCATAAGTATTGGAAGTTATGTGTTTAGACAAGAGAGTGTTGACATCCAAACCATTTTCAATGACAAGCTCTAGACACTGGTTCTGGCTGTCCACAGCAGAATGAACAGTGCTTGACCCACTTTCCTGGATTAAAATTTGGGACGTGGCTATAATGAGATACTTCCTACCCCTAAAAAACAGTGAACAAAACTAGGCAGGTGTAACTTCCTTACAGGAAGAAAATAACCCTCACCCATCTATGTTCTTAGTTACCACCTAGACATCTTACAAAAGATCAAAAGACAGAAACACCAGTTTTGAGCCCTGTCAAATAAGATGTGTTTAATTTGTTTCCGTGGTTTTCACTTAATTCTAAGAAGCATGTTTTGCATTTTGCTTTGTTTATGCTAAAAATAAAAAATAATTAAATCTAATGTAACACAGGTACTTCTGAAATAGAAATGTACATAAATATACGTTTGCAAGTTTACTACAGACATCTTTGATGTAACCTTGAGCCACATTGCTTCTTTGAGAAAATGTAAAGTCCAAGCTCACACTCACAACTGATGCCCCTCATAAGCCTCTTTGTGTATGGGAAGCAGTCCTGACTCACCAGCACATTGCCACTTCCTCCATATTCCAAAAGCAGAGCTATGCAGCCTAGACAGTGTCCTCCAGCTGCTTGAAACAATACTGGTACAGGATCATCTGCTAAGGCCTTGACATATCCAACCCAAAGGAGGATACGGAACTTCTATTTATATCCAAAGTTACTTACAGATCATCATAAAAACAAACCCACAGAACTTTCCTCCTTTTTTTCAGATATATTTAAGTTAAAACTTTACTAAAGCACGGAATATTTTTTGTGGCAAATATAAAACTCAAAATCAAAATAAGACGTGTACAGACACAAGTTCAAGTGCTCACCTGAGCGGACTCTGCTTTGACTGTAAGCATTACAACTGAGGACGACGTGTACAGACACAAGTTCAAGTTTAGACTGAGCGGACTCTGCTTTGACTGTAAGCATTACAACTGAGGACTTTCAAACCAACATATTTCTAATATACTTCATTAATTAATACCAATATAGTTCCATATGTGGAAGGAAAGGTAGGAGTGAGGGAAGGATGGAGTGGAGTAAAGAGAAACATAAAAGGGCAAGAAGAGCACATATAGCAATCTCTCCTTGACTGAAATGGATTGCTTTCAACTCTGCCACTCCTCTCACATGCATTACAGAAATATGTAAGCATCACTCCAATCCAGCAGAAAGACTCACATATGCTTCCTTTCCTTCTAGCTAATTTCCTCTTTTTTTCATGAAAGACCTCAGCCCTCAGGCAAGATGTATGCCAGTGGAGAGGTGAATTTCTCTTTTTGAGACTACATATCATTATGATTAAGATGCTCCAGCACATCACAGAGACCACATTCAGACATAACCCCCAGTGGTGTTACTCAATATTTGTCCTTAATGTTAACATTTCTATCATTCTTCAGAACATCAACAATGTCTTCGTATCTCTGTTTTGCAGCTTCTTGCATTGTTGACCAATAAGTTTCTCCTTGTAACTTATGGTTTTGGGATAAACACCCTTTTCAGGATCATTTGCACATTTTCCACAAAGCCAGTTTTTGCTGCCAGAGTTAGTGCTGTTTTCCATTGCATGTTTTTTATTGCCACATTGATTCATAAGATGCTAGAGGTAAGAAAAACAAGAAAATAAAATAAAGCACAAGGCTGTTAACACATACACATACATCAGAAATCCTTAAATGCTAAGTTTTTATTAAAAGCATTTGTAATTATGTTAACCTAACAGTACTGCCAAACACACTTGAATACTGAATGGTAATTTTTGCTTTGTCTGTAAGCTTCTGAAAAAAATGTTAAATATGGTCCAATTTATTTGCTGGTGTAAACTGATGCAATTTTTCCAAAACCAGAAAATTAGCTGGAACATTTAAACAACATAAGGAAGATGCTCCATGGAGGACTTGATCATACCTCTTTTAGTTAACAGTTCTAGCCTGTTGGTGTCTTCATTATTCTATGTTTCTTCATTGCTCCCCTTATCTTATGGGATATTTTAATCTTTCCTGCCATCTAAAGTGACTTCAAATACTTGTGGAAGTGGCCGAACTGCAGCCTCGTGCAGCAGAAACCACTCTCTTTGATCAGTTTCCTTCAAAGCATATGTCAGGTTCTTGAAGCCCAGATACTTGGCCTTACAAACTTGAACAGATAAATGTGATGCAGTTGAAAAAATAGTATGCCAAAAGCTCAGATTTGCAAAGGGACTATTTTATTTAATTTTAGGGTGTGGTTTTTGTTTTGGTTTGGTTTTTGTTTGTTTTGTTCTGCTTTCATCTCAGGACACCTTGCTCCATGGATGTTACAATTTTCCTATTGTTCTCACTAGGTGATACAATAAAATGTCTCACCTCATGTCATTATCTCTTTTAATGGTCATTAATATGTTAAAACCACCCAAAACAAACCCCAAACACTCACAAATATTGTTTTATCTTTATACTGCCAGAGCACAGTCTATTAAAGAAGAAAAAGGTCTTAGGACTCCCTGCACTATTTCTGCAGTTGTGAAGTTTAATGGACATTCACATGAGTTTGGTACACAAGGTCAGGCAATGGTCAAGCCATGCCAGCTATTATTTTCAAGGTGTGAGAGTCATTGAAATGCTCAGTGGCTTAGTAACAGAGTATGTCAAACCTTTTAACTGTAGTCATCAACTTAATTCAGTCTGTTCATATCACCAACTGTAACTGTGGCTTATGTTCACTATGCTTTTTCCTCATGATATCACATCAACCAACCATCTTACTAGTAAATTCTCATTTTAACTCGAAGGTCAGGAATTTTGCTCTTTACAACATATTCTAGGTTTTTGAACTGTAAAATGCAGTCTTTATATGTCGTAAAACACACAGAAAGAAAAACGCTTTAAGTTAATACATCTTGTACCTACCTAGGTTTTTCCAAATGAGCTTTGGGTTTTGATAGTTTCTCTGTTTGATTCAATCTTAGTGACTTAACACATTTGTCCTGTTGAATCTTTTTTTTTTAATTTTTAAACCACTACTTCCACAATTTGTGCGTTTGTGCAGTCATGTGCTCTTTCTGAACACTTATCATCCTCAAAATGTTGCACAAATATTACACAATTATACTAAGTCCCTGTTGTATGTTTGTAATAGATCATGGTTCTAGTCATCCTGCAAACAGAAAAGGAACATTGGAAATGGTATTTGGAAGAAATCTTCTAGAACTTATTTTCAAGGGGAAGTGTTAACCAACTTTCTCTTCAGACTAGTTTCTGCATTGCTCTTGTAAGCACTAAGTCACTCGAAGAACCATAGCCAATATTATAATCCCATCCACAAATACCTTACTAGTTAGTACATTATGGTAAAGCTTGCAAACCAAAATTAAATCAGTAAGGGCTTACATTTAGATTGACTCAGAAATTAACTGACTAAAGTTCTCTTGGATTCAGACTCCCACATAATATGGTTTCTCACCTCTTTCAATGTGTACTGGAATCATGGTCTGGGTTTTCAACTGCAAGGAAACAAATTTGAAGGAAGATGTTAAAAATCTCTATGTCAATCCCATTTTCTCTGATGGAGAAAATATACAACTTGGGTTTTGAGTGCCATCTCTGAACACGAAAAAAAGGAGTCCAAGAATAATTAAAGAATATTCACTAGTACATTTTCATTTGGGGCTTAGAAAAATAGAGCTTCATGTTGTTCGTAAAGGACAAGATTTTCTGAAGGTTCTCTTCTCTGTCCCTTCCTATTGTGTCCACAGTCAAGGCTTCAGCGTAACAGGCCAAAAGAAGATTTAACACGGAAGTTAGACTGCTGAACTGCTCATCACAATGTGGACACATGCACCACTCTCCCTCATCTCTTCTGGGCAATACATTCCACTGACAGGCAGAAGAATTTTGAGGCAACATTCCTTAATGCATTTTTCCTCTCATTTTCATTAACACTCCTCAAATTCTGATGGCAGCTTAAAGCTTTCATCATTTAACTCACAAATACACTCTTGTTATGAACACCCACAAACCTTTTATAGAGCAAAGATAAAATCTCTCCTGGACTAGCAGTTTCAGAGGTATACATCAATGAACATAACTGCAACCTCAATCTGCCATCAGCTAAAAGGAAAATACATTTTAGAGCACATTAATATCTTGTTGGCAGCTAAGAGGTGCTCCTAATGAAACAGTTAATTTACGTGAGCTAATTTATTAAGGAAAAATATGTAACATTCATAATCTTATTTCCTCCACAACTGCTTTAAGACAAAAGTTACCTTTCCCTTTTTCACACCTTTCATTTTGAAAACCCTCTATCTGAAGATTTGAAGCCATTGATAAAACTTTTTTTTAATGAATCAAGATCACCCTATTGGATCCACATGGAAGGACCTTCATGCCCTGCCAGCCTTACTGAAGTTGTTGTCCTTTGGAAAGTTGAGAATTATTATATTCCAGCCCATCATATATTTACCCCAGAGCCTGAATGAAAATGGCTCCTGAAGATTTACACATGCCTTGGATCAGACCCTCACACTGCAAACTCTCTGAAAAAAAAGTCAGTTTAGTGTATTAAAAAGACTTTTTAGCAATGTTCACATATGGTCTACTCATGCCAGATGATCAACATGCTCCCAACATCAGTGTTTCCAGGAAGAGTTAGGAACACTAAGCAAGATAGTTTTTTAGTAATAAAATCCTTTTATTTTCATTGGAATGTATTTCCTTTCTATGGCTTCTTTCTCTCCAAAAGATCAGAGGAATAAACCAGTTTAGAGGCCACTACAGAAAATTTTCTCTGGTTATGCAGTTTCCATACCCAAAACTTCCTCCTGCTTTGCTGTACTCCCCTGAGTGATTTCATCACAAGTATCAAAAACTCTTGAACACAAACTTAACCAGAAGGGTCTCAGATGTGCTGTGTTTCAAAATTGCTGTGAGTACTATTTTCAAATGAACTTATCCCACAAAAGTTCATATATTGTAAAATGGCAAAGTTGGTTAGAAGTAACTGTGGCAGGGTAGAGTCAGTGCAAGGCAAAGAGCTCCCCACAGCTCTGGACACGCTGCCAAGGGTCTACAGGCACTCCGAGAGCCTGATCTGCTCTATCACTGCTGGTGATACACCGTGCTGAGCTGACAAGGGCTGACCAAAGCATGGATGTTCCACAGGGATCACAGGGCAACAAAACAGCACGGCTGATACACTGAGCAGCAACAGAAACATCGCTGCTCCATTACGTGATGTGGCAATGAAAAGCCTAAAAAGCTCAGCAGGAAAATCTTCTTCCATTCACCCTTGGCAGTTTCTCAACTGCCAGACCCACACACTAGATCACTGGAAACAATTGCAAACCCTTACTCTAAATGAGTTTTAGTTTTTTATATTCCAAAGAATATTTTCCTTAAAAAACCATTTTGAGTAGCCTGATATTTTTCTGATACTTTTTATATTCATACCTGAAAAACTGGATATTACTTCTTGATGTTTTACTTAGAAAAAATGTTTTTCTCTGTAAATTGCTGTGTTCTCATTAGAAAAAATATTAACTACTTGCTAATCATGGAAGTTTGTATCTTTCCTTGGAAAGAAGTGTATCAAGCATTTATTTCTTTTAAACACATAAAGTTATGTGAGAGTTAGTGTTATTCTAATTTCTTATCCTCAAAATAAACTAGACAATCTTAGCTTTACTCTTTAAATAGAAGGCACTTGGGCAGGCACAGAGGTTATTCATAGCAATAAAATAACTACTAGCAATCTAAATTTGGACTCAGTCTCTCAAGTATTAAGTTTTTTAAACTATTTCTCTGCTAGTTTAATTGGCGAGCATAGCACAGTCTCACCATTTCAACCCATTATCTTGCCAGTGCTACTCTGAGGCCTGAATTTTGAACAGCCAGGAACAGTGCCCTGCAAGCTGAGGTGTCCTGTGATACTTCTAAAATTAAATACGCAGTTGCTAGATAAATTAAGGTCTGACCTTGTACAACTGTAACATAAGCAGACTCGACCCTCAGGAAAGTATTACACATGACTTCTCTAAAATCTCATCAAATGTAACACGAGGTCTGGGGATATAAGATTATCTGTGTCCCCATTGGTTAAACAACTCCCATTAAGAAAATTAATTATTTGCCAATTATTCTCAAGCACTACATTAACAACACATGGGAGCATATTTACATAAATCACAACAAATTTGAGAAGGTCTAGCCTTCAGCTAGCTGCAGATCCCACCATATTTCATCACCAAACACTCACCTCTCTCTCTGAGGCTGACATGATGCAAAGCTTTATAGATTCAATGACTGACAATTACAGTACTTATTTAACTAGTTTAATAACTTGAAGCTGGACAAAGAAGAGGAAGCATGGCACCACAGACAGCAGTGATGAAAATACAGAATAATCCCAGAGTAAGATCAAGAACAGCACTACCCAGCATGCTAAACCCAGCATGCCAAACCCAGGCATAGGATGAGGAAGAAGCTGGAAACATCACTCATTCAAAACCTGTGTTGTTCTGGTTTTAACCAATTAGTTATCATTCTTACCATAATGAACAGACAATAAGGGCATACAACAAATTTAAAAAACCCCAAACTTCCATCTTGTCTTTAATTGTTCTAATGAAATTAAATTTTACTGTGAACTCCTCCATGACTTTTGACTCACTTGCATTTATAGAGCCATAAAAGTGTAAGCTTAACTAAGGCATTGCATGCATTTCAATCTTTGAATGTAAGATCAACAAAAACATTTAATGATGATAAATAATATTCACTGCAACTTCTTTGGCCAGTGGGACCTAACTAAAGGTGGCATGCCCCTAAAAAACCCCAGTATAACAGAAGCAGACAGAAACAATGCTCAGATCCTGTCCTGCTGCTGGCTATGAGATATACTCTTATCTAATTAAAAAACGAAAAATATGTATTTATAATATATATCAAGAACACGAATGCTGTAATTATTTACTTTCAGTTCTCTCATTTCCTTTACATAACCAGGACACCATCAGAATTAGTGCATACCCACATTACAAACATGGTATTGTTTTGATTTTCAGATATTTTAATAACATTATGCATTGTGCATGAAGTGCCATCATACATAATTACTAGATATAAATCCATCTATTATGTTTCATGCAGAATAAATAAGTTGTTGTTGTACATATACCACATCACGTGGCAATTTGAGATCCAATACCATGAGATAAACTCATTGGTGAGACAAATACAGAATGAAGAGCTGTAGCAAGGCCTTCCTAGGCTACCTACATACTGAATATTAATGCATAGGATACTAGTCCTAACAGAATCACCAGTGTAAAGCAAATAAACTGTGAAATGCTGTGTGGGTGGTTTGGGGTTTTTTTTGTTTATTTGTTTTCTAAGTCAGTGTTGACTGCACACTGATAATACTTTGTAGGTTTCAGCTTTGTTATATTTTAAAATAAATCATGGCTTGAAATGGGATTTGGCCAGTTTGGAGAATTTCCCACAGTACCACTTTGAGACTGATTTCCCAAAGATTTTCATCAGCAAGGCCGGCTGTTTTTGCCATTGTTGGGATGTGGCAAGGACCCTGCATGCTCAGGCTGCCTGCACAGTCACTCACAACCTCTGCTGGGACAACGCTGACCGTGTCTGTGCTGGGCTCTGAGTGCCATCAGGAGCTGATCCTCTGGTTGGACCATCAGAGACAAGGGGAAAACACAGGGCTGGGCCAATACAGAGAAAGGCAGGAACTTTTAAAGACTGGGGAAAGAGAAAGAATTTCAGTACCTAGGCAAGAAACTCCAGCTCTTTCTAATGCGGTTGCAAAGAACACAAACTCTGAACACTGATACGAGCTGTATCAGCCACTTTGCTTTAGTTGCAGATTGGAGGAAGTGCTTGTTTTATCAAAGCACTGGCTTCCAGGGAGAAATCAGGTATTATAAACTCAGCTGGTGGAGTTCCTTTACTAGTTATGAAAAATAAGAGCTCAAGAGCAGGACAAACTAATTACAAAGAAAGACTCGTCCAGAATAAGATATAAACTTACAACATAATTAGTGTAAAGTACTGCTATGCAAAATTCATGCTTTAAGTTAGCAACTAAGCGTAAGACTTAACAGAGGAACAACTGGATCTTCAAATGAACATCATGTTCACCTCTACCAATAATTTGAACTGTCTTTTCACTGCTCTTTTGTCCCGCTGTGGCTACGTCAAGGTCCTTAACTAAGTTCCCTATTTTCTGCCTGGCTCTGTTTCAGGGCGGTTTTTGCTGTCGGCGCATGCGCAGCGCGGCGCCCTCCGCTGCGTCCTCTGAGGGCGCCGCGAGCGCGGCCATGGCGGGGGCGCTGAGGAAGGTGAGGCGCCGCTGGGGCCTTGGGCCGCGTCCTGCTCCTGCGCGGGGCCGGCGTCTCTGGGGGAGGGCAAGGAGTGCCGCAGCCGTGGGGTGAGAGCGAGCGGCCACCCTGCCATGCGAGGGAAAGGCCGC